GTGTCCATAAGGGTAACATGTGAAATTTCAGAAAAGCAATGGATACTATATGTGTGCCGATCAGAAAAGCAACTGGACGCATTGCTTCATGAAGCTTGGCTGAAGGACTAACAGAGTAAGTACAGTGATCAGTTTTACTAGGATGAGTATCGATCAGTTATAAACGATCAATTGTTGACTGTTATCGGAGAGTGGAGCCGAACCTTCTGCCGGGCCGATTTTACTCTCCGATACTTGATCACTTGATCACTGCATTCACCACTCAGTCATTTGATGGGAAATTCTATCGTTGGAAAGAGGAATCATGGAAAAACGTGTTAAAGTCGATTCTTTTCACTTTCTATCTGATGGTGATTCAGAAGGTTTGTTCGGAGAGAATTTTGCATAATGATCAACGGGACATCGAACATTTTCTGCTTCCTATAATTGCTGATGCATCCTTACTATTAAGGATGGCGAATATTTTACTTGTCTCCTCCTTGAAACTGTACTATCAAAAGAAACTTCAATATATTTCACATCTGCACTAATGCTTCATCACCTCTTCTTTTGTAATGATCAGCAGACGTAAGGTCCTTTAAGAGGTTATTGTGGAAGAAGCAACGACAAATAGACTGCTTTATTTGGGATCAATGATCTGTGACTACTGAGCTATTCACCGGCCCGCTTCGGCTCTACGATTTTCACTTTTGATTTCATTAAAGGTTGAAGTAAAATTCGAAAGGAAAGCAGAAATGGAAAGCGTTGCAACACTTCCGCAGCAATATCCCCTTGTCGATACAGCATAATGACAAGGATGTCCAACGTGGAGGTATAGCTCACCAACTTCAGGTATGCATTGTACAGATCCGCGTTTTCCGCCTTCAACAGTTTAGTGCAATACGCTGCCACGTTTGGTAGGACGAGAAATGCTGCAACGATAGCATATTCCGATAACTGCATATCACGTCAAAGAATCACATGGCTGAACAAAGGTGTCTATCCTCTGCCTATTGCATTAACAGAGGTTGTGATGTATTAAACCTACGTGTCCAACGAGGACAGGCTAGCTCGAGCCAAAAAATGTGATAAATTATATAAAGTTGGCTTTATCGATTGCATGTCTAGACGACTCTTCGTTGCAATCAGTCTCACCTATCAGATGATTACATCCTTTGTTTATCCATCGGATAACTACAATTTCTCTTTGCTCAAGAACAAAATTGTCTACCACACCTTGGTGGGCACCAAGGTGCAACTCATTGCTCTTGGAGTCAGTCCACATCCACTTCAACATTCTTCCGCTACACGATTGCTTACTAATTGGTCGAGAGCTGCGACTCGACCAATTTCAATCTTACTAATCTTCATCATTGTAATTATGTAATTTGTATTACTGCTAATCTTCCACAAAGAATAAATCTTCATAATTTTTTTCCGTGAAACAAGAACTAATCAATCAAAAATTTCTCACGACAAGTGCAACAGAATGGTAAGCGAAACTTACCAAAAGTAAAGCAGCAGGAGAAAAGCATAGCTTGTGTGAAACCTCGTTGACGATAATTAAAATTGGCCAAACGGCGATCATTCCATGCAGCTTTTTGTACTTTCCGAAATTTGACCAAAACAATAAGCATCACGAAAATACTTATCGTCGAGATACACATTCGTGCAAACACTAGGAGAAAGAACGTTTCCTGCGACATCATCACGTAACACCTGGGAGCAACATATGTTAGGTAAGCGTAACCATCACGTATTTAATCTCTCCTTAATTAATTGTGTGCTAAGCTTTCGTTAGCTAAGTGCAAGGAGAAGCTTCTGATAAGAGCGTAACATACTTTTTATTGGCTTACGTAACAATTCAAAAAACCAAGAAGAAAAACGAACATGCATTCATTGGTAGCAAATGGCATACTAAATTTAGTAATAATGACGTAAGCCATAATGCTAAATTGAAAGAAGCCGGCCATGGAAAGTTGAACAATAAGATACAATTTTGGACGCAGAAAATAGCCAATTGGGTTGTATATTACCAATAGCCGATCAATACTGTTTAATAGGAGTGTCATCGGAAGAAGCAGAAAAGAAAAGAGTTCGAAGTAACTCGCCATCTGAAGCATAATTAAAACATTATGCTGTAAGATATTATTCAAAGTATCTAAGGCTACGGTCAGTAATTACTGAATTACATTACATGTAAAGGTTTGGAAAATTGATGTGAAACTAAAAGTTATCACAGGGGCTTTCTGAAGAACAAAAACAAACACACATACACACACACACACACA